CCCACCCATATTCCCCCCCCTCTTCTTTCAAGGAGATATCCACAACCCTCTCTCGGCCTCGGTACCCCACCCCCATATGGCAATAAAGACAGAAACATGGCCTAGAATGACTGGCCTGCTGTGGAGAACCCTGTCGAACACAACGGACATGCTAAGTAGTGCCATTACTGCGAATCCTCCTGCTTGTCTACCACAGGACTCCAAAGATGTCTGTGACTCTGCATGAAGTACCATTTTGGGGGCTGGGGTGTGTGTGTCAGGGTGCTACAAGACCCATCACTGTGAGGAAGACGCTCTGCTAAGGATTTCCAGGTCACTTTCTTTTCCTCTCATGGCTAGAGGTCACCCAAGGTCCCAGCCATGGGCTGGTGAAGCACAATCCACAGAGGCCAGCTCTCCCCTGAGCATCTCGGTGTCCTACTGAGGGAGGCCACAGGTATGCTCCAAGCTTTGACTGCCGCCAGAGAGGATGATATCCCCCTCCTTCACTGGAGCAGCCAAAGGGCTACAGCAGCCCCAGCCAAGGTACCTTCGGATCGCTGGTGTATGAAGCCAAACGCAGCAAAAGGTCTCATCCGATGCCCCCCTAGGAAGACGATGGCGTAATCAGGGCAGAAGACACTACATGCGACAACATTCAAGAATCGTTTTCCCTCCAAACCACCCCTTAGTTGAGAGGAGGCTTTTGACCCTATCTTGCAATTTGGCTATGAACTTGTCAGGACCCACAGTCAAACAACAGAGCACACACTTCTTCGAAGGTTTTGCTTTATTGCTAGCACTATGGTAGCATAGACACAGGCACTGTTAGGAATGACTTCATCATAGAAAGGTGAGAGAGATATAGGGTATTCGAAAGCACCCCCCAACACCACCTATGGGCCAATCGGCCTGACTCCTGCGGGCGGGAAGGAGGACCAGGGCTAAACTAATCCCACGGTTAACTGATGGGAAGACACTACACAGGCTGGCTACAAGGTCAGAGATAAGGAGGGGGAGAAGCGAAAGGAAAGGAATGCGGCAGCAACTGGCACACAGGTCATGAAAGTGAACCCAGGCCCATAAACTATATGGCAGCATAGCTGACAGAACTATGATTCTGGAAACATGTTTCTCTCCCCTTCACGGGCAGCTTCCAAGAAGAGGCTGGGCGAATATTTGTCCGAGATGCTTTAGGCTGGTCCTGCATTGGGCAGGGGGCTGGACTAGATGGTCTGTAGGGCCCCTTCCAACTATTCTAAGATTCCATCTATTTATGCCATAGTTTGTGAGTACCAGGACTGAAGAATTATATACTAAAATGATTCTAGGGGCATGTTATTCTCTAAATGGGACAGATGGCTAACCAAGGGGATAACAAGTACAGAAGAGGGTTATATTTTGGGGAAGTAAAGCAGGGGATGGGAAATACGAACTAAGACCCCCCCTACTGTCACAAAAAGGAAGCGAATATTACAGGACCTCCAGATGCATACGCTATAGGGAAACATCTTTTCCCCCTCCTGTTGCCTGTTGTGTGTGTGTGTGTTTTTTTGGGGGGTGTATTTTTCATATGTGCATGTGTGTGTGTGTGTGTGCCCCTTGAAGTCTTGGCGACCTCTGGTGACTGAGCCCTGCTGGGGGCCTGGAGGAGATTCAGAGAGGTGGCTGTATGGAGCCTGCCCCCACCTCCTGCCTCTGGTATTCCCAGGAGGTCTCCCCTCCAAGTCCTTGCCGGAGTCGACCCTGCTTGGCTTCCGAGATCTGATGAGATCAGGTTTGCCTGGGCTGTCCGGGTCAGGGCCCTCCTGTTGCTTGTTGAAGAAAGGTTAGGGCAGTTCCCTCTTCTCCTCCTTACCCTCTCTGATTTTGTGACGCGAGCTATGCTGGGTTACCTTTTTTATCAGGTGTGTCTCAGTTCTATACAACTGATCTGGATTAAAGCAGATTACCTGGTTATGACAAGGGGAGGCAATGAACGTTTGGTTTAAATACGTAGCAATCCTACAATATTCTGCTGACTATTGTCATCCGTTTCATTAATGAAACATGTCACAGTGCGTTAACCAGGCTGGTCTGCAGAACAGCTGGATTCGAGCCCAGGAGCCTCTTAGAGGGTAGCCAGGTTTCCAGGGCACGGGGAGCTTCCGAGGGTCAAAGAAAGGGCTCCCTTTGTCAGACGCAAAGGCTACTGGACTCAAATCTAAATATCAATGGCACACAAATGCAAAAGCATGTGGAGATGTTGCTTTTTTCCCTACCAAAGAAACGTGCACCTCAACATGTTCTATGCTCTGATTAAGACAAGGATTTTATTCCTCAGCTCTGAAATGGGTAGATAGAGACACAAAACTTTGTGTTTTATTACAGAAGGGTGTATGGGATTTTTTTTTTTAAAAAAATGTATTCTGAAATGCGTATTTTCAGCAGTTTTACTGTCATAATATAACTAACCAATGATTTGCATGATGGATGTAACTTACATTATTTGATTTGTCAAAATACAGTATATTATATATTCAGATTTTTTTGCACAGTACTTTCAGAAATCCAAACTTACCTGCCACGATTTTAAATAGGCAGACTTCAAGTTTCTTGCAAATGTATTGAAGGATCGAAGTGTAAGATACCGAGGGGCAAAGTGAAGATACTTTCTGTATTGCACAAAAAAGTTGATTGGAAATTAAAAAATAGAGTGAAAAGATCCAAAGAGAATCCAAAGTATCTTCAGAAAGTTCAACGCATTTTCTTAAGTCTTCTTCAGGGGCTACAAGAATAAAAAATATACAGAGGATATACGAACTTGTAATATTAAGCTGCTTTAAAAACTTTGAAAAGCCAAGAAATTCTAAAAACTCTGAGAAGAGGACCAGGAACTTGCCCTGCGACAAGTTATCTATAATATCGCGTGGAACCATACCACTGAACTGAGTCTAACATTCCCGGGATGCCATGGAATCGGGACTACCATCCCCAGGATAGCATCTTGTGATTGAAGATCTTTTGAAACATCTGGAGCACTTTATGCTATTGTAAATATTTGGTTTTATCTTGTTTTATTGATTTAACTATTGACATAGTATATTGCCTTATTTGTGTTTTAATTATTGGTACATGTTGCTCTATTTGTGAGCCGCCCTGAGCCCGTTTGCGAGGAGGGAGGGATATAAATTTGAACAAATAAATAAATAAAAATATCTTTAGAAACAACGAGTGGACTCACCAAATATCTGAGTGAAATAAAACCACAGGCTTCTCTCAGCTGGGCATTCAGGTAAAAGGGAATATCGCAGTTCACCTGGTTTAAATCTTTTGTAAACCACACTTGTTTGACCATCAATAACTGCTGTGAACAACCACAATCCTAAAAAGATGAATTAACCCCTTTCTGCCAAACTGAATCACCAGAACAGAACGGATGCACACTGATATTTTTTTAAAAAATTGGTTTGGTCAGGCAGATCAGGAAATTCAAGTTCACCACTGAGCCCCCCCCAAGGGCATTTAGATGCCTGCACACTGTTGCATTACGTTGTCTGGTCTTGCACGGTTTTTCCATTCTTCTGTCAACCAATGTTGCCACCGACATGCATTACTAAAGGCAAGGACTCTCCAATTGGAAGAATAGCCAATGCACTAGGCAATATTATCTCAGTTTTCCTCACAATGATTCTGTGCTTAATTCATCAACTAGAATTCGGAACAGCAGCCAGAGCCCTGATGGTACAACGCAGGGGTGGGGAAGTGATCCCCCAGGCTGAGGAAGGGGAAATGAAAAGCTGAAATTAAATTCTTAATATTTTTAAAACAAGCTTATCCTATATATATAAAAGCCCAACATACTGACATATCCCAGCTCTCTCATCAACCATCACTCAAGACTACTTGCGTGCCATTGACTGGACACTTCCCTGACAGAATAAACTGCTAAAACGGCTGTCTCTCCTGACAAAGATGCTTCTACTTCTGCTTGGCTCCTCTGCCACAGGCTGGCTACTGAGGTGGGCCACTAGCTGTCTTCTCCTCCTGCTGTGGGGCTAACTTTTCCCTTAATGGCTGCTGCTAGGCAACCAAGCTTGGTTGTGTAAGTAAAAAGGTGGGGGGAGGCCCTTTCCAGGCCTCCTTTGGCCTTTGTGGGGAACGCATTGTGGCCAGTCCAGTTCTGACTAGGGTTACCAGCTCCAGGTTGGGAAATTCCTGGAAATTTTATGGTGGAGTCTACGGAAGCCAGAGTTTGGGGAGGGGAGAGGCCTCAGCTGAACAGAATGCCATAGAGTCCACCCTCCAAAGAAGTTATTTTCTCCAGGGGGGAAAGAACCGTTATCTGGAGTTCAATTATGATACCAAGTGATCTTCAGGCTCCACCTGAAGGTTGGCTACCATAGGCATAGCAGTTAGCACTTCAGAGCAGGGTCTGCCAGGCTTAGGTTCTTACTGTGGAAGCTGAGTGGGTGATTTTGGACCAGTCACAGACTTTCAGCCTAACCTATCTCACAGAGTTATTGTGCAGATCAAAAGGGGGAGAGGAGAATGATGTAAGCTGCTTTGGTCTCCACGTGGAGAAAGACTGTACTTTTCCTCCTAGGGAACCATTGCTGCCAATCTCCAGCGAGCGCTGGAGATCACTCAGAATTAAAACTGCTCTCCAGATGGCAGAGATCAGCTCCCCTGGCTTCTTTGCAGGGTGGACTCTGTGTCATTATATCCTGCTGAGATAGCTTCCCTCCTCCTTGGGTACCCACTGTGGAGAAAGACTGTACTTTTCCTAGGTAGAGGGGGGGGGGATTGAAGTCAGAGGGGCAGATAACGGTAGGTTG